TGTGTGTGTGTGTGTGTGTGTGTGTGTATGTGTAAAAATAACTCCCCCCTCCTCACTTCCCAGCTAGCTGCCTGCCAATTATCTTAAAGCTCTGTCCTCTGCTAACTGACCCTTGCCCCGGTGGAAATGATTTCTCTTTATTTACTCGATCAAGCCCCTCATGATTTTGAACACCTCTGAACCTTCTCTGCTGGAAGAGGAACAATCAAGACCACCACCCCAACTCCCCTCACCTCCACCATCACCCCTCCCCTCCACACACACACAGGCCACCACCTTCTCTTGTCTCTTCACATAATTGAAGCCCCTCAACCATGGTGCACTCTTTGCAGCTCGAAACTAAATAAGCAAGCGCGGCCAGATTTAACTAGGGACGTGATTCAGAACTCAGTGTGTGCTCCAGCTTACGGGATTGTTTAAATGTATGTCCCATTTTTCTTCATTGGGTGATGATGGATCTACGGCATTCCCTGGAAGCTGAGGGCCACTGCAATGTTAATGATTCATTATGGATTTGGCTCCATTATGTGGTTAGTTGTAGCTTCTTCACATTCTGTCAGTCACTTCAACTGAGACAGCTGGGGGTAGGGAGCAGGGAGTCGGGCAGTGGATTGGATTAATGACCTTGGAACTGTTTATATTGAAAGGTTCAGCACTGTTCCAAGCCTGTGCACAAAAGGAGCTGTGGAGGGGTGGTGGGGAAGTGTCGGGGGGGTCGGTGGTGGAAGGAAGACAGAGGGGGCAAAAAGATTGGCACCAGGCTCACTCCTTGGGGAACCTTGCTGAGCTCTGGTAGCTGTAGTACGCACTGACTGATCTCAGGATACAGTAGCTCTTGGCTGTTAGCGTTCCTTAGCTGCTCAGTGGACTTAAGCAGCAGACAGTGATTGATGAGGCCTGGCAGTATTTACAACACCAGGGATTTGATGTGTCCAAGCAACCCTTTGTATTAGTGCACACGTTGTGCAAGGGGAGCCAGGCTGCGGGATTGTATTACCCCTAACCTGGTTTGTCCTCAAACGGGGTTTCGACAGCTGACATTCGCATCGAGGTTCATCGGCCCCATAAGGTGTAGGAGCAGAAGTAGGCCATTCAGCCTGTCAAATCTGCTCCACCATTCAATGAGAATGTGGTTCGATCCTGTGTGTTCAGGACTAGCCTCCTTGTCCTACCCTAAATCACAGAGCTGTGTCTCAGTCCTGCCTTCAGGCACGGAGGATGAAAGAAGTCTTTTATGTTCATAACCCTTTTCGTTTTAATGATGTCAGCTAAAGATTGGTCTAGACTGGGGAGAGTTCCTAGTCTTTCAAAGCAAGGAACTTTCATTGCCTGACAGGACATTGACTTGGTGTCTCACTTGAAAGATGGCACCACTGACAGTGCAACACTTCTTCCCTTGGCCCTGGCACCGGGAACGTTTGCCCTGGTTTTGTGCTCAGAGCAGGATTTGAACCTACTGACCGAAGGATGAATCAACCTGTTTTGTTTGTCACGCTGTTGCCTGGAACACTGCGGATGCCATGGGTTTTTTTTCGTTTTGTTAATCTCGCCACGTGACCTTGAAACATCCAGCCAACTGTGGAGACAGGATTAGCGCCATATCAGAAGGACAGGGAATGTGTTTCCTTCACAGGTTTCCACACCCTTCACCTCCATGGATGCAAAATCAAAACATCAGGTCGTTAAATCGACTCCTTTTGAATGCCCGATGCTGATGTTAAATGAGTTCCACAAAGGCCAGCAAGGGACGTCAATGTGGTGTTTTTTTTCGGGCGGGGGGTGCAAGTGATAGACGCTTTTGTCAAGAAATGCTTGCTGAAATAGTTGAACCATTTGTGATTAGAAATGGTTTTGTCTAGCTATACCTGCTGGTTCCTCCCTTAATCTTGTAAATGAACTCCCAGCCATGTAATCACTGCTGTAATCTGTGGATTAGGCCCTATCAGCAGGAATGAGACACTGTATGCTTTGTGCTAAAGGTTAAATGCGCGTTCGAGTCTGGGCCTGTACAGCACTAGCAATGAATTCGGTGCTGCCATTAAGCTGTTTATTTTTTTTTAAAAATAATAAAAAAAAGAACAAGCCTGTATCCTAGACAAATGGAGAAGGATGACTTTGTCAGAGGGCCATAAACCTGAGGATGCGAACCACATTCCACACCAGTGCAGAGCTGGATCCCAGTGCCGCATTGTTAGACGGCAACGTTAAACCTGACCAA